GTAAACAAAATAGCGACAAACATTTGTACAAGTGGAAACATTTCGCTCAAACGTTAATATTTACTCAATGAGATTTTTTTGAAAATATGTTATGAATACAATAATATTTGTCAACGCTTAACGACTAAAATATTCAATAAGTAAAATCATTTATTCTGCTATAAATGAAATTTAAAAAAAAATTACTAATACTACTACTAATAAGTATTGAATCAAATGTCTACTAACGTTACGTAACACATCCTAGATAATAAAATACTTCATCAAATATATTCACTGTATATTATTAATTACAATCAAATTTGTATTTAATTCAAATTGATCTCAAAACTTGTCTCATTAGTACCAGTTATTTTTTTACGTAGGTATAATTTTATTAAGATAATAGCATAAAAATACTTTCAGGAACGCCTCCAGGTATGTTTTATTGGTTTATTAACCCTAACAGTCCTTATTTGAAATTCGTTTATTAAGATTTTTTTAATCTTATATATTCTAGAATAACTAACTTTTAAATTGAACACTTATTATATTGCAATTTGAGCTTATTTTGATTTTTTTTAAATTACAAAAAAAGTTTAATATCCCCCCCCCCCTTTTCTAAATAAATTTTGATGAAGGAATGTTATTTTACGCATTTTTGTAAAATTAGCTTTAAAATAAAATAAATTTAGAAGTTATAATTTATTTATAACATTTTATAAATGATTTGCTAATGATTTTGCTCATTTCGATCCTTATATGCATCAAATTTAGTCAAATGGATTTTCATGATATCGATCACCAAAATTTATTGTAATAAAGAATTGCAAGAATGGAAAATTTGTAAGGATTTTGCTTCAGAAACTGAACAATTAAAGCAATAAGATTTTCACTATTGATATAATTTTGCTTATTAATCAATATAGTACCTTATAGATTATTTAAATACACCAAGAAACTAAATACATCAAGAAACTGCTTTTTACATTAAGGTTATATAAGAGTTTATTGTTGTCATTCAGACAAAATTGGATATCATTTGATAAAAATTTTCAGCAAAATTTATTAATTGGTAGTTTTATTTAATGATTTTTATAAACAAAATCCCAGATAATGTTCTTGCTCAACAAATTATACATGTGACAACAAAATCTATGCAATTAAAGAGATAAAATCTATGCAAATAAGGCTTTAGGGCTGTTTGATTATATAATTGATATTGTAAATAGATTTTTAATTTTACTTCATATGACTTTGTTCAATAATTTTCCTAAATTAAACCTCAGGATTATGAAAAAATAAATGCATTTGCTGGACAAATTATACATGTGATATCATAATCTAAACAATTTATAATAAAGAGATATTAAGGCTTTTGGGCAGTTTGATTTTATTATTGTAAATAAATTTTAAATTTTACTTAATATGACTTCGTTTAAATTTTTTTTAAATGAAGTCTCAGGTTTATGGAAAAATAAATGTGATTGCTGGAAAAATTATACGTTTGATATCAAAATCTAAGCAATTTATAACAAAAGAAAAATACGGCTTTTGGACTATTTAATTATATTAATGATATTATAAATAAAATTTAAATTTTACTTGAGTTTTTAATGATACTAAGTATATTTTACTTCATTTGTATAATTGCTTTAATTAGCATTCATGATAATACTAAAAATCATTTCTAAAACCATCCACGTGGTGCCTGTCTTACTATGAGCTATTTTGGTAACGCCCTTTACTAATTCCAGTAAAATTGTATTAAAATCTACAATAATTTATATTTTATTTATTACACGAGAATGAAAGCAACAAAAATTATAAGATAAAAATAACAACGAGAGAAAATATCGCACAACCAAATATTTTAAAACAACATTAAAATATTTTCAAATAATTTAACCCTAGAATGGTATCTGCACGCCCCCGAGGCGTACATGCAGATTTTTGTACTTTTATTAGGTACTTGTGTAATGGAAATTTTGAAAAAATAAAAAGACTATTTAATTAAAAAAACAGAGTTTTATAGTTTCTGAAATAACCTTTCATGATATCACAAAGTATACAATGAAAAAATCACGTGTTAAGCCTTATACCATTCTAGGGTTAATTTTAATCATGCCATATTTGGTCGAATCATATCATTATTAGGCATCAAAATAAGTAATTAATTTTTAGCACCTATATTAAGAAGATATATTATGGCCTATATGGATAGTCCAAACTATGCTCATAAGCCTGCTTAAGTTAATTTAACAAGTTAATCGCCATGTCAGTCATATGTGTCTGACGCAAAGAAGTTTTACATGAGCTACGTCAGGCAAATGTCTGAGAAATTGACTTGAACATTGTTTGGCTTGTCCAAGAAAAACGTTTTAATATAGGGCTATGTCAGTCATATATGTGTGACATGAGAAATACTGATTTTTCAGGAATTTTGGCAAAAAAAATTCTTTGATACATCAAATTTCTTGCTTCATACATTTTAAACTAAATTTTTGATTGATAGCTTTATGTAATAATTTTCATAAACAAAACCTCAGATTTATAAAAAAAAATTCATGCTCAGCAAATGCAATTAAGGGCATTATAAGGCTTATGTAATATGTTCATATGATAATAAGTTGCCATGGTTCATGTGAAAATTCTTTTAATATCATGGCGAGTAACGTGTTAAATTAGGTCTTTCATTACATATTAACTATAAAAACGCCGGTATATATTATTCCAAATTTTAATTATGATAATGTATAGAATTGTCTAGTCCTCTTACCATTTTTGTCGTTCGATGTGTCATTTTTCGTCCCATCGTCCGCTGCTGTATTGTTTACAAACAAATCAAATGTAACGCAGGTATTCAACAGCACACATATGCACAACACTTTGAATGTAACTTTCATTTTGACATTTTCATTAACATTGTAATTATTGCATTTCAACTCAATTTAGTCATTTATTAAACTTTTCCCTATAAATTGTCACATTTTTTACCACGTGTTTTTGTGAAAATCCGCTCTTTAGGTTCACTGCGCGCATCCGGAACTCAGCGCGGCAGAATAGGATTTGAATTCTTTGGAACTTAAACACATTTTAAATAAAATACACAGTTTTTTATTTAGTAGGAACTTGAATAAAGTTTGAATGATTAACACAGACCATGGAGCATTCAATCCTGCTCAGAAGAGCGACCAAGCAATACTGGCACCGGAGTGTATGCGCGACATCGAACTCGTTCCACTTTTACTTTTTACAGTGCCGCACTATTATGAACTAATAAATAATAAATATTGAAAAATATAATTTTTAAATAATTTTAAAGATATTTTTATAGAACTTCAACATTATTTTATGAGCCTTTAAATGGTTCAAGCGGCAGGCTATCGATTAGACCAACTGATTCTCACAGACTTTTCCTTCTAAATTAATAATTTTAAAATCTAATTAAATTTAAATTAATCTACATAATAAAAATTAATTTATTAAATTATTTCTTAATATTTAACAAAAGTTAGTTCAGAGAAAAATAATATTCTAGTATTTTGAATTGTGTTATATAAAATATAAATAGAAACAGATTTGTAAAAATAAGTATTATTTTACCAAAGTCATATAGGTGTGAATATCCAAAAGGGTATGACCTTTAGTAAATTAGTTTTTCCTCAATATATTATTTCAGAATAAAATACTATTTCACTTTTTTCAGTGCCGCACTATTATGAGTTATTTTTAAATGTTAATTTTTCCAAAATAATAAATATAAACATTATTTTCAACGTACTTTTATAGAACTTTAACATTATTTTTAAAAAACTCTTAGATTTATTGGTTATCCATTTGATTTTGGCAGTGTTTTTCTTCAACACTGAAGCGCCTTAAAATAAAAAAAATAAAAAATTAAATTAAATTAATTAAATAAAAAAAAAATAAATTTAAAATACAAGCGCCTTAAAATACAAATAGCATGTGTTTCTGAAAAAATATATGTAATTTATTTTTATTTGAGAAAACTATAACATATAATAAACTAAAATAAATTATAATGGAAATAAAAATAAGTAATATTTTTTTAGAAACAAATGCTTGCATTTTAAATGACTCACTTATAACATAAATAGATATAATACCCTATATTTGTTAGGCTAAGAATTATTTTCAAAAATTTTAACAGAATGAGTATCCTAGTATATTACCATTATAACATTACATTACATCTTAAAAATTATAATAATAATAAAACACAATTTAATAATTTATCATATATTACACAATATATAAATAGTATACTTTGTATAATTTTATTGCGGATTTGAATGTATTATTATATTACCTAAAGTGAGTAAATTAAAATTGATAATTGTATTTATGTGCCTAAGATATACTCTAATATGATGTTTTTCAAAATACATTAATTGAACATTTATATGATATATAGTTATATATAATCAGAAATGCAAATGGTTTTATTTAACACTAAATTGTCATGTATTTATTAATTTTACTATTAAAATAAATAAATAACTTAAATTATTTGATATTTAAAATTTGTCTATCAAGTTTCATGCTACCACACAATTTATTTATTAAAGAGTGGAACTTCGAATATAACTATATATATAGTCATGAGTTTATATATATATATATATATATATATATATATATATATATATATATATATATATATATATATATACTTAGAGGTAATAACAATTACACACCACATCAATATTACATTTTATGTCAACATATAAGTCGCAATGCCTAGTTTTATAGAGATCATACTACAAAAAATTATATATTATTTGAAAATTTATATTTTATCTAAAATTTCGTCAAACTTATCTACAAAATATATAAAAATCAAATAAAATTGAATTGTAAAAATAGGTGTAAAAAATTAAGTATCATGTATAATACAATTGTTCAAAAAATACTGTAAAAAAACATACAGCCAACGTACAAAATTTCATTCTTTAAAACATTCATTATTTTTGTTTATCGCATGGATAAATATTATATCACTCTAAGTTTAATTTACTAATGTTTATATCAGGATCAAAATTAACATTACCGCTGGTCACTTCAATATTATTGGTATTGTTACTACTTTCTTTATCAATATTTACATCACTGTCAATAGATTTTTTAGATTTAAATTGAGGAAAAAAATCATTTCGGAAAAAATCCTTCCCACTTTTTAATAAACTTTTGTTTGTAGATGTTAAAGATGAACTATTTTTATCATTTTTGGACTCATCTTCTTGACAATCAGCTGTAGTACTACTTATTGTTTCATCTTTATTTTCACTAGGATTAGGATCTATGTGATATATTTTAACATTCATATCTGAGTTTACCAGTTTTGCTTGTTTGGGAATGTTAGATTGTAATCCTGATTCAGACTGATATGATTTGGACAGTAAGTAGCTCATACTTTGTTCACTTTCTCTTTTATACTGTATTGCTGTCCAGACGTCTTTTAATTCACCTGATAATTCTCGTTCAGGCAGCACTTCTGCTTGCCTGAATTTATAGTAGAAATAGATATAAATGATTTATGAAATACATTTGGTATTACCTATTAAACTTGCTTACCTTTTTAAAACAAGTCCGGGATTCATGGCTTCTACAAAGTCACACATTAATTCAACAAGTGCCATTAGTTCCTAAAGACACAAACAATTTCATAAACTAACAATTTTATATATAAAACTATAACAATTCTATAGTATAAATTGAGGCTTTGAATCAATAAAATTAATAAAGTAAGCGTAATAGATTCAAAATTATAGTTTTTAATAGGTTCATCATAACTTTAAATTATAATTTTTGATTCCCACATGAATAATCTTTCAAAATAGAATTTATACAAGTGGGGTTTCCAAATATTACAAAAATTAAGTTATGTTAACACAAACAATTTCATAAACTAACAATTTTATATATAAAACACTAACAAATCTATAGTATAAATTGAGGCTTTGAATCAATAAAATTAATAAAGTAAGCGTAATAGATTCAGAATTATAGTTTTTAATAGGTTCATCATAACTTTAAATTATAATTTTTGATTCCCACATGAATAATCTTTCAAAATAGAATTTATACAAATGGGGTTTCCAAATATTACAAAAATTAAGTTATGTTAAAAGTGGGGTTTCCAAATATTACAAAAATTAAGTTATGTTAAAAGTTATTACCACAGGATCTTTACACAGTCGTCCATTTGTCTTTAATATATCAGGATTGGCCATTACAGCAAATACTAAAGGAGGTGTATTAGAACTCGTTGGTGGCACCTAATTCAATAATGTTTATAATGTAATTAATACGATCATGAAAAACTTATAAACAATCTGAAATGAGTAAAACACTTCGCTTGTTTCTGATTTTATTTTACTATATATATATTTTACTGTATATAAGTAAAATTGAATCAGAAACAAGTGAAGCAAATATATATATATATATATATATATATATATATATATATATATATATATTAGGGTGGTCCTTAAAATGGTCATTTTCGAATTTCCTTGCTCCCAGGGGCTCAAATGGTTCCAAATAGATAAAAAACAATTCTCCGAAAGTTTTAGCTCTTAATATTAAAGGACCACCCTAATATATATATATATGGTACGTACGGATTTTAAATAAATTTTTGAAAGAAATTCATGTTTTTTTATTGATGTTATGCCCGATTACTAGACTGTTAATACATATATATATATATATATATATATATATATATATTTACTATATATACTATTAAATATTTAAATATTTGATGTAAATAACTGATAGAACTAGTAAACAAATCGACATCGTTAAAAAATGTTTGATTTCACATACTTAGTAAGGAAGAATTAATTTATAATAATATTGCTCATAAAATTATAGATAGTTCAATGAGCAAAGAATGCACATTAGTAGGTCTACATACTTTGCTTAAAAAATTCATTCTTATACAAATTATTGCAAATATTATGGCACTATAAATAAGCCCAATTCGAATAGTGAATTGAAGAATAAAGAAAGTGCCCTAAAAATATAATAATCTTACTCGACTATTATTATTATTTAGATATATAAAAGGGTAGATTTAGGTGAGACTTCATATTAAATTTAATTATTCCAGGATTATGAATATTATTGTAAAACAATTTAATAGTGATCACATAAATATTTGACTGCTAGATTAAACTTATTTTATTACCAAACAAATGTAAATAGATAGATATATAGATAGATAGAATGTAAGTGTAATACATGTAAATATTTTTATACCATGCAATATATCAATATAAATACATTACACAAAACTTACCCTCATTCCACCATAAAGAGGTATCGGATCTTGTGCAGACTTCGGCATTGCTATTTTGTTCCAACTTAAAACATTTATAAACAATTCATTACCATCCTTTGTTGAATCTCTTATACACATATGAGGTTGCGGAGGATTTTTAAAATTACTCAATGATCTAAGACTTTTCATAACTGGCATCGGTCTATCACTTGCTTCTGATGAACCCAGATAATTTGATTGGGACATACTTCTAATTTAGTCTTAATAATGTAATAATTTAATATCACAAATATAATTTATAAGCACTACATTACACCAATTAAAAATAACAATAAGTTTGGTTAATTTTTTTTTAAATCAATGTGTAAAATGTCAAGTGAAATGATTAATGAGTAATGTAAAAGGAATTGATCAATAATTGGATGTTTTAGAATGTCTAACAATAACAAAAGCACGTCCCAGGAATCAACTTAGACATTGTTGACATAAAACAAATATTTTATCTTGTCAGTTTTAGTAAGTTGGTCTTAGAGGTTTTCTTTATCCATTTACACGTCTTGTATAAAACTATTAAAAAGTATGAATTTCATTTAAAATATCATTAAATGATGGATTGTTTAAATTATTTTTATGTAAACACAAAATTAAAATAGCTCTAATGTAAATAACAACTACGACTACAGAGACATCTTTAACAAATATGTGGTAGTGAACTAAAACATTAGCTGAGACTTAAACCTTTTTAATGACAGAATAATTTGACATATTTTCTTTGAACAAATTATTAACATTAAATTCTAATTTTAAACTCTTCATTATATACTATATATCAATTACAAAAATATTATAATGTTCTAACATTTGCTAGTAATCTAAAATAGGAAGCACACATTTGTAAAATTGCCTATGTCAAATCATACAATTTTATATGTGAAGACAACAATGTACTTAATTATAGGATTTCTTATTTAAACTTACACCAATGATTATGTAAGTAACTAATAACATTAAACTAAATACATTTTCATGTAAAATTGAACTGAATCAATTAAATTCAGATGATGAACTTTAGAAAGAACTTAGTCAATCTATAACCAATAATACTACTAGTTGTTTTTAAGAAAACAGTTGAAAAGAAATAAATCACTCACTATACATTAGCAAATTTATACACTTTCTTGGGACATTCTATATTCAAAGACACTTCCATGCTCCTGGAATGTTTTGAAGCACGGTTTATTTTCTACTTTTTGTGATAATTTTCGTCTATTTTCATCATTAGCCAATCCATATCCACCTCCTCCTGGAGTCAGCATTGAAAAAATGTCCTGATAAGAAAAAGATTCATATTAATATGTAAGGATTATATTATTAAATAAATGTATATTGTATATATTCAGGGAGATCACAACTATAGTTAATCTACTTTATACTGAACCACAAGATCCATGTTTTTTGCAAAATGCTAATTCTATAAAATAATCTAATCTCAATATAGTATTTCAATGATATTTATATCATACCCCTGGTTTGACTTTTATTGCTGTTTTAGCTCCAAGATTTATTTTCCTCTTTTCTTGAGCTCTTATAAGAACATTAACACCACTTGCACCAGGCTCTCCACCTGCCATTCCATAGGGTTGAAAAACTCTTCGTTCAGTCAAAACTGATAATGTCATTTCCTTTCGGAATAGCAATTCTCTTTGAACACCATCACCACCCTTGAATAACCTAGAAATATACACAGATTATTAAAATTATGCATATATATTCATCATAATCCTTGTTCTAAAATATAGTTTTGGTTATCACTCACCATTTCCACCGGAATTAGGACGCAAACAAAACGTTTTCAAAATTATGGGATATCTAAGTTCCAAAATTTCTGGATCGGTGATGCGAGTGTTAGTCATATGAGTGTGGACTCCGCTTTTACCATTCCATGTAGGGCCCTGAAAATATCATATAATTTAAAATATAAATAAAGTAAGAATATTTTATAGTTACAAATAAAAACTTACAGCACCACTACCTCCTGCAACTGTTTCATAATATCCCCATGTTTCTTCTCCTATTGTGATATTGTTCATACATCCTTGTGAGGCAGCACATGTGCTAAGATAAAAATAAAATAATTGGAAGTTAATATATATATATATATATATATATATATATATATATATATATTGAATAAAATTTAATATTTACCCAAAAGCTTTGAAGACAACATCAACTACTCTTTGGGAAGTAAGAACATTACCTCCGACAACGGCAGCATCATCACTAGGATCCAAAAGTGATCCTCTAGGTATTTTAATAGAAATAGGTGCAAGACATCCCTATCAGTAAAGAAATAAATATTATATCCAATCTATCTATAATTTTGTTACTTTTATTTTTCAAACCTGGTTCAGAGGCACATCATGACCGACCATACATCTTAAACAATAAATAATTGCTGAAAGGGTTATAGCTCTTGGTGCATTGCAATTGCCCCATACTTCGTCACCAGTGCCACTAAATATAATTATACAGTCAATAAATTACATATCACAAATATTTTACTATAATATTAATGCTAATATTACTTAAAATCACAAATAGCATGTCCATCTTTTTCATCAAGAGATACAGCAAGTTTAATTTTGGATCCATTGTCCATCATCTCCTCAGCATGTAATATTGTGGCACCAGTTCTGAAATTCATTATAAAACAAATATAATGTATCAAAAATATTTGTTGAAGTTATCAATAAATATACCTCTCTCTTGTCTGCTTTGCTATATCTTTTAACATATTTCTCACCGCAACTTCAGCATTATTTTGCATGTGTGTCATATATGCTTGTACCACATTTAATCCGTAATAAGAAATTAGTTCTCCTACTAACTGAATTCCCTGATGAAAAATTCAATTTTTGTAATAATTTCATTCTAAGTGGTGAAAATAAAAAGTTGGCCCAATGGCAATATTATTATCAATTACTTTGTGATTAGCTGCAATCTGCGCCTTCAAATCTGAAATATTGTCTGCTAAATTTCTTGTTCCTGAAGAATTTGGTAATTTTCCTGGAGCCATAAGTCGTTCTGTAAGTCCTTGCTCATCAAAATGACCATCATTTACCAGAAGAAAACTCTTAAACCAAGCACCTTCCTGAGATAATAGTGTTGAATGCGGTGGCATAGAACCTGCGACGTAAATATATTGTAATTATATGGAACTTAATGTAATAATTTCAAATTATTATAAAAAACAAACCTGGAGTGATTCCTCCAATATCTGCATGGTGTCCTCTTGAAGCAACAAAGAATACTGGTCCTTTATGGCCCCTGAAATCGTTAAAAGTATTAAAGTGGTAGTGTAATTACTAATGATGAATGATTTAGTGCAACAACCTACTTGTGAAATACTGGAGTAATAACTGTTAAATCTGGCAAATGAGAACCACCAGCTTGAGGGTGGTTTGACAACAATACTTGGCCTTCTTTCAACGAATCACCTCGAACACGTATCTGATAGATCGCAATATCGTTAGATGATTTGTAGATAATTTGAATAATTATCTTTATATTTGATGAAGTACCTGATATTGAACCGTTTCCTGCATGGCTCCTAAATGCACCGGAATATGCGGCGCATTGCTGACTAAACCACCATCAGGTCCAAATAACGCACAAGAAAAATCTAATCTTTCTTTTATATTAGTAGAAATAGCGGTTCGCTGAAGAATCCTAAATTTTCATTATATTTCAATGTTTAGTGTCGATGGGAATTCTTACTTACCTCCCCATTTGTTCCGCAATACTCATAAATCGATGAGAAAATATACTGAGTTGAATTGCATCTAATTCTGGACTAATTGGTTTTGGTTTACCAGAGCCGACGCTGTAAATTTAAAATAGCAGTAAATAATATTTGTTCATAGTGTAAAATATTTTTCTCAGATATACCGGATAATTAAATCATTTCGCTCTGTAATTGTTGCCGAACATTCTGGTTCAATAAGAATTGTGGAAAGCCCATCTATCAGTATTGATGGTCCATTTAACACATCGCCTGGGTAAAGGTCCTCACATTTGTAAACCGGTGTTTTGTGCATTCCTGATTCGAAATGCGTTTCTTTAACCTATAACAAACATATTCTCAACATGAAATCTATGTAGTGCTAAAATTATTAGATATTGGAAACATTTATTAGTATTAAAAACGCGGAAGTACGAAAAAAAGTGATTCTCTAACCGAATGAGGTTCAAGTTTGGTTTTTCTTTCACCAGATTTCCTAGATTCCTCGGGAGCGTCAGAGTTGCCCGCTCCTCTCACTCTAATGTCATCAACAATAATACGTCTACCAGTAATCACAAATCCGAACTCACTTTTATATCGCAACAGAAAAGAATCAACAAAATTTCCGTAATCAGGGATTACAAGTTCTTTAGCTTCAGCATCTTCATCAGACTCGCCGGTTTCCTCTTTAGGAGCGCACATGAGTGCGCAATCGGTCCCTTCGTACCTTAGATGAAGATATGGTTCTAATCTGATTTGGTTTGGAGTAAACCCTTGCTCCTTAAGTTTTTTAATGCAAGTTTCGCTCAGGTGATCTAGTCTCTGCTTAATTATTGGAGCCGATTGTTCACTCAAGATCATTCCTGATGGTTCTTGAGCTTCGTGCACCACATCAGCTAATGCCATGCCGTACGCAGATAATATACCTAGAAAAATATTTAAAATTAAATTATATCATAAATTAAATCAATCTTCACACAGATAAAAAGTTCGATCAATTTATCTACCTGCATATTTGTGGACAAGAACTGTTCCCATACCCAAAGCAGCTGCTACTGAACACGCATGTTGACCTCCAGCACCTCCAAAAACTGCCAATGCATGTCGAGAAGAATCAAATCCTCTTGCTTGCGTTAAAGCTCTAATTGCTCGACACATCGCTTCATTTCCGACTCTCACAAATCCTAATGCAACTTCAGCAACGGTTAGCTTAAAAACACAAAAAATATATTATAAATCATAATTGTAAATATGAACCACAGATAATTATTAAATCTTAAATTATTTACTTTTTTATTGCCATTTTTCTCTAAATATTCATTTATTTCATTAGTCAATTTCTGAAAAGCAGCCAAAGATGCATCTTTATCCAATGGTAGATTTTCATCTGGTCCAAATATTTTTGGGAAATATTCGGGTAATATGCGGCCCAGAACAAGATTCGCATCAGTAATGGTAAGAGGTCCACCTTTGCGATAACAAACTGGACCAGGATGAGCTCCTGCACTCTCGGGGCCGACCACGAACAAACCGGAGCGGAAAAATAACATTGATCCACCGCCTGGAAAAGAAATTAACTTACTTTATAAAATTGTTTACAAACAAATATAATAT